GTAGGGCGATCGGAGCCATCGTCTCGGCGGTCATCCCTTTGAGCAGAATCGGCACATCGATGCATCGATTCTGCTCGAAGGGGTGAGCGCCAAGACGATGGCGCCGATCGCCCCGCCGCCGCCATTTCGTCGCCCACTGCACGCGAGGGAGGCCGGTGTTCGTTGGGTTCTCGCCCAACCCTATCCGGGCCATCCCTTCATCCACGCGCGTCGGCTGGCCCCTACCATCCCCCCGCGGGTCTTGTCCTCACCGAGTATGCACGGAGCTACATCGATGCATCGATTCTGCTCGAAGGGGTGAGCGCCAAGACGACGGCGCCGATCGCCCCGCCGCCGCCATTTCGTCGCCCACTGCACGCGAGGGAGGCCGGTGTTCGTTGGGTTCTCGCCCAACCCTACCCGGGCCATCCCTTCATCCACGCCCATCGGCTGGCCCCTACCATCCCCCCGCGAGTCTTGTCCGCACCGAGTATGCACGGAGCGGTCGGGGCGAGCGGGGCGGCGGCGGTGGGCACGTCAGCATTGCGACGGCGGTGACACGGCCAACCTCAATGCTAACGTGCCCGTCGCTACGGCGCTGCTCGCCCCGGCCGGCCCCGCGCATGCTCGGCGAGGACAAGATCCTCCTCGGGCGGATGGTAGGGCCGGCCGAACTTTTTCAGTGTGTCGAGGCAGTGGTGGCCGGGATAGGGGTAGCCGGGAATCCGATGAACGCCGGCTTCCCTCGCGTGCAGGGGGCGACGAACTGGCGGCGGCAAGGACAATCGGTGCCATCGTCTTGACGCTCATCCCTTTAAGCAGAATCGACACATCGATGCTTCGATTCTGCTCGAAGGGGTGAGCGCCAAGACGACGGCGCCGATCGCCCCGCCGCCGCCATTTCGTCGCCCACTGCACGCGAGGGAGGCCGGTATTCGTTGGGTTCTTGCCCAACCCTATCCGGGCCATCCCTTCATCCACGCCCATCGGCTGGCCCTTACCATCCCCCCGCGGGCCTTGTCCTCACCGAGTATGCACGGAGCTACATCGATGCATCGATTCTGCTCGAAGGGGTGAGCGCCAAGACGACGGCGCCGATCGCCCCGCCGCCGCCATTTCGTCGCCCACTGCACGCGAGGGAAGCCGGTGTTCGTTGGGTTCTCGCCCAGCCCTATCCCGGCCATCCCTTCATCCACGCCCATCGGCTGGCCCCTACCATGCCCCCGCGGGTCTTGTCCTCACCGAGTATGCACGGAGCTACATCGATGCATCGATTCTGCTCGAAGGGGTGAGCGCCAAGACGACGGCGCCGATCGCCCCGCCGCCGCCATTTCGTCGCCCACTGCACGCGAGGGAAGCCGGTGTTCGTTGGGTTCTCGCCCAACCCTACCCGGGCCATCCCTTCATCCACGCGCGTCGGCTGGCCCCTACCATCCCCCCGCGGGTCTTGTCCGCACCGAGTATGCACGGAGCGGTCGGGGCGAGCGGGGAGGCGGCGGTGGGCACGTCAGCATTGCGACGGCGGCGACACGGCCAACCTCAATGCTAACGTGCCCGTCGCTACGGCCCTGCTCGCCCCGGCCGGCCCCGCGCATGCTCGGCGAGGACAAGATCCTCCTCGGGCGGATGGTAGGGCCGGCCGACCTTTTTCGGAGTGTCGAGGCAGTGGTGGCCGGGATAGGGGTAGCCGGGAATCCAATGAACGCCGGCTTCCCTCGCGTACAGGGGGCGACGAACTGGCGGCCGCCAGGGCGATCGTG